CATAGGCATGAGCAGGGGTGGGATATGACAGGGTTAACTACCGGTTCGGGTTTTACGAGCTTCCCTGCAGGCTGCGCACCTGTAAATCGTCATCAGCAGCTGCCTGCAGAGAAGCAGCCTTTGAAACAACCCTCTTTTTCTGCTTTTCTAACTGCAGCTGTGCCTTGTTCGGCTGCTAAAGTTGAAAAATCAGGAAATAAAGATCAGGTAAGAGCCCGGGTGTGTAGGTGGGCAAAAACATCAGCAGACATAGAACCAGTTCTATGTCTGCTGCTCTTCAGAGCTACCAGTTCTACAGAGGTGGACAGAACTGGTAGAAACCCACCCCTGGACATGAGCAATAAATCAATTTAATTGAAACTTAATGTTTTTTCCACCTGATATTAACCTTGCCAATTCCTCTCTCTAAAACTTTTCAACAGACTGCAATGAAAACACCAGAATGGCATCTGAACTACAGACTGGAGAAGCAGCTGCACAACCCACTTTGAATGCTGTTCTACACCACTAAGATGGTTTGGAAACCAAGATATGCAATACGTCAGCCAAGATGCACAATGTCAGCTATGATGCTTCAAATTGGTCCAACAAATGAAGTATTTGCCTCGCCCTATGCCAAGTCTCTCCCTATGCCAATAGCTCCAGCACCAACACCTGCTCTGGCAGAGCTACCTATTTTACAGAGAACTCACAGCAGCTTGCCAGAAAGGTTTGGAAGTCAGAAAAGATGAGAACTTTCATAGCACAACATGAGTTGCTTATGGACAACTGGGCAGTGGAATTTCCAACTGACTGGTTGCAAGTTTTCTTTTTAAGAGTGTTTCCTCGTAGCCTCAGCATCTCAAAGGGCTCTCCCCTTCATTGAACACAATGACACTATTATGGTAACTATCAGAGCTACAGGGGCCAGGTCAGGAATCTGTTAAGAGAGATTACAGCAACATACAGGATTCATGAGCTTGATAACACATAATCAATTTATGTATAACTGATCCATACAGTATGATGAACAAATTTGGATAAAGTAACATACTTTGAACCTTTGCAAAGATCCAATCTTCTCTCGAACTGTTACCTCCATTGATATCATCTCAGTCTTCATTTTCTCATTTTCTTTGCGAAGATGCTTTTCCATTTCAAGCAATGTTGTGTATTGTCTTGATACTGATCTTTCATTGACTCTCAGAACAGTAATTTTTCTACTATAATCCATTAATAGTTGTTTAGTATCATCAGTATCCTTTTCAAGTGCATCCAATAAATCCTGTGGAAAGTTTCCATTTTTATAGACATTGTAGTCAACATTTGGTAAGCCTTATACTCATGCATAATTAACAGATTCTGGATTATGAAGCTTAATTCATACCATCAATCTACTCCATCTTTCCTCAGTATTTTCCCCCCCAAAAAATCTATGCAGAGAATAAGTACATTAACATTTATGAAAACAGTTTTTCCTCCCTATTCCTCTTTGTATCTGGTGATAAAGTATGGGAGAAGGTGAAAACCTCAGCAAATCAAAGACCACTTGCTAATAGTTTAGGGGAAAAAATATGAAATTATAGGATTATAGGATTATAGCTAATTAACATTTTCTGTTCTAATGTCAATGAAAATTTACTACAACCAAATGAAAATAACCTCCTTACAGTATATTCCTTTATTTTTATATCATCTTCCTCCTTTTGATACTCCAATCTTTTCTTTTCCTGTAGTATTTTCTCATTAGCAGCTTTCCAGTGTTCCCTTTCACTAAAAAAGACAGAAGCTTTTTCATAAATGCATGCATACTTAAAGCCATTTCTTTCTATCTCAGCCTGTAAAATACATTTTAACAAGTTAGGTGGGTGCCTAGGTTTGAAAGTTTAGATTAAAAAGATATAAGCAATTCTCAAAAAGAACTGATGAACAAAACAGAACTTGTGAGAAAGAACATTACAGTATTAATTGAATGTTTTGATATCACACAAATTGTTTTATTTTGCCTCTCATTTTTAGCTCACAGAAATTTAAACTATATTATTTTCTAAAAAAATATTACAATACCAGAGCACTATACAATGCAGATGGTCTAACTTTACAGATCCATAACTCAAGAGATTGTGTAAATTTAGCCAAAAAAACAATCCCACATCTCATAAATCAAATAAAAAGTACTACTTAGGAGCATTAATACATTGTTTAATTAAATTGTTAAATGTTCAGGATTAAGTCTTGAATCTGAAGAGAAGAGACAGAAATTCTTATTAGGTACTGTAACAATTGTGAACAGATGTGTTGAGAAACTACCTACGGTAATCTAGATAGAATTTGGTAGCCTGTCTGATTCAGAATATAGCAAAGTATTGATTGTCCTCCTTGTTTGCTCTTCTTTCATATAATAACTATTTCAAGTTTTCAGGAGAAAAAGCTAATATTATCATGATTTAAAAATGTTCCTTTTTGGCACAATAGTACCAATTTTAAAATTTGTAATTTGGCAATATGAACCCCTAAAGAAGTAAAAATTACCATAAGCTGAGTATGAATTTATTATGTTTATAAGTTAGCTCAAAAAAACTATCAGACAAAATTCTCATTTCTTCCATTAACAAAGATATTTTGACTTTCTAATCAAAATAATCAGAAGGAAAAACCACTATACCTTTGATATTCTTTATACAGCAAGCCTTGTTGATGTCGAATAACTGCAAATTTTCTCTTATATTCTTCTATTGCCTCTTCTAATTTTTTGAAGAGCTGTTCTTTGTTTTCCAATTCCTAATAAGACATTTAAATTAAAAATATGATACCTCTCTACTTCAATTGCAATGTTACTGCTTGGAACAGTGATTTCTTGAAGATAATGAAGTTATTAAATTAATACTTAATAGCAATGGATTTAATTGTATAAGCATGTTTGTTAATAAAATATTCTATGCTCGTTTTATGTAGACATGCTATTTTGTGTGATTTTATTTATATATATGTGTGTGTGTGTGCATGCATGCATGTCTTGGCGTGTTCAGGTCTTTTCCCATGTAAGATTGAGAGTATCTTGGCGACGTTTGGGTGAGGTCCCACTCACCATCTTCAGGCTGGTGCTTTCAGCTTTGTGCTTTTGCGAGCAAAGCATGATCGGAGCTACCATCTCTCTATAAATACTGGTGGGGAGGTTGGCTGTGTTGTTATTTCTTGATTGGTTGATGGAGTTGATGTTTGCAGATTGGTTGGTTTGGGTTTGGCTCCAAGTTTGAGGCCTGGCTATGTGTTCATGGCATGTGTCAGTTTGCTTGGTTTGGGCCTCAAACTCAGAGCCAAACCAAAACCCGGAACGTCACATCACAGCCACCCGCTTAGGATATTACATCACGAAACTTAGGAGGCTACACGACAAAACCTTAGGATGTTACAACACAGCCAACGACTCAGGAGATTACAGAACAAGACTCAGGATGTCACAATAATAGAACTCAGAAGGTCATCACACAACCCATTACCCAGGTCGTTACAACACAGGAGGCTGATAGACACACAGCCAATACCTCAGCCACATGCCATGAACACATAGCCAGGCCTCAAACTCGGAGCCAAACCAAAACCAACCAATCTGCAAACATCAACTCCATATGGAACACCTTGCCCTCGGAAGTTGTGGGAGCACCATCACTTGAGACTTTCAAGAGATTGGACCGCCATTTGTCAGAAATGGTGTAGAGTCTCCCACTTGGGCGGGGGTGTTGGACTAGATGACCTACAAGGTCCCTTCCAACTCAGATTATCTGTTATCTGTTATCAACCAATCAAGAAATAACAATACAGCCAGCCTCCCCACCAGTATTTATAGAGAGACGGCAGCTCCGATCACGCTTTGCTCGCATAAGCACGAAGCCGAAAGCACCAGCTTGAAGATGGCAAGTGGGACCTCATCGAAACATCACCAAGATACTCTCAGTCTTACACAAGAAAAGACCCGAACACGCCAAGACCTGCATTCCTGTACCCGGGAAAATCTACAAAAATGTATGTATGTATGTATGCATGTGTGTGTGTGTGTGTGTGTGTTTATACATACATACATATATACATACATACATGTGTGTGTGTGTGAATCTTTGGTTATTCGGGTTTTCTCCCACGTAAGTATGGAAGTATCTAGGCAACGTTTCGATGAAGTCTCATTCATCATCTTCAGGCTTGTGTCTTCGGCTCTGTGCTTCTCAGAGTAATGTGAGCTTGCAGTTGTTTCTTCCTTTTAACTGCTAGTGGGGGTGTGACTTGATTGGGTGGGGGCTTGGCTGTGTTCTGATTGGGTGGGGGGGTGTTCTCATTGGTTTATGTAACCTCAGAAAGCAAATACATACATACATACACACATACATACATACATACATATTTGTTTTCTTAAGTTTTCGCGGGTACTTACATGTATGTTATTCAGCTTTGTTTGGGTATTTTCCCACGTCATTATAGTTGTGCTTTTAAAGTTGTAGCAACGTTTCGGCAGAATCTCATCTGCCATCATCAGGCTTCTGATTGTGTTTGTCTGTCACCAGAAGCCTGATGATGGCAGATGAGATTCTGCCGAAACGTTGCTACACCTTTAAAAGCACAACTATAATGACGTGGGAAAATATCCGAACAAATTATATATATATATATAATATGAATATATATAATATATAATGTATAATGTATTTTTAGGAAAAAATATTAATTGAAAAGCTACTGATTAAGTTTAACTCTCATGAACGAAAAAACTATATATGTACGTTTTTCCTAAACTTTTGTTCAATTTCTGTATATGGAAAAAAAATCTGACAGATTAGACATATAAAAGATACACATGCTATTTAGTTTAATGTTATTTACCTGCAAAAGGTGTATTAAATACTCATTCTGGGAATTAATCATGTTCACACTAGAAGGAGACATCCCTTCCGGAAGATTTGATGATTTAAATATTACATTGCCACCTTCTGATTTTTTCAGCATATCAATTTCATTTTCTAGGTTCGCAATCTGAAAAATAAACATTAAAAAATAACAATGCAGGGAATCTCAGAAATCTCTGAAGTTTTATCTAGGGCATATCACTAAAACTCCTGGAAAATTCCATGGCTATAAATTAGAAAACCTTCCCTGGAAGTCCATAGTGCCAAATCACATTATACTGTATGTAAAGCTTTATATATTTTAACAGCTTTCAAACAAGTACAACAGAAGAACACTTGCAACATCAATCCGTCAATCACAACAGACATAATTCACTAATGAAGTCCGGAGACAAACAAGCAATTCCATTAAAAACAGCTTTCAACACAAATAGCTCTGAATGGGACCCCACTTAACTTTTTTCCAATAGTAGCAGAGATAATTTTGAAAGCCAAGGTAACCTACATACTTTTGTATTTGCTTTAGCTAGCTGGTTAGAAAAGTTTACTGCTTCTTTCCGAGATTCTCTCAATTCTTTGCGCAATTCTTCATTTCTGCCTGTCAGTTGGTCCACTTGGGCCTTCAAATGCAAGCGGGCATCAAAAGTTCCTTCTGCATTCTTTAATTCAATTGCCTGTCAACAATTAATTCATCACAAAAATAAGTATTTTCAATTAAATTATGGAAAATTTTCAATTGCTCCCAAATAATAGAACTCTATTAGTAGTCCAAGTAATCCACAAGATAGTGCTCTCCAAAAGTTTGAGACTATGCTTCCTATCATCTGTGACTATAATAAGTGATCTTACTGGATTCATAGATTAAAAATAAGTTTATTTAATGTTTTACAGCTTAATAGAACTTTTAATTCAAGTATTTAAAATTTTGAAGAATGATTTCTATGATGAAATGAAACAGATCACTGAGTTGCAATGAATAAAAAACATCTTACATATGAAATCAGACACCAACATTATTCTATAATTCTCTTGGAAAAAAATTCTAAAGAATGAGGAAAACAAAAGGAATCAATTACCATTTCCGAAAGATTACCAAGAACATTAAAAGGGAAAAACATTCACTAGAGATTTTTCTTTTTTCTCCAAGATAAGATATGGGGATCTGGCAGGTAATTGATTTTAGTCCTTTATGTAAGCCTTTTCAATCCGTCGTTGTCTCTATCTCATCTCAAGCCATTATTTTGTAGTTATCTTCACTAACAAAACAGCTACAAACAGCTTAGTAAGATTCCGTCGACCTATCTCTGCCTTTAGAGCATATGAAATATTTTGTATAGTTCTATCAATACAAAGATAGAGCAGAATGGTATTAATACCTAGTGCTGATCAAGGTTATGGGCAAATTCATGAAAGACTGCTGATGCACATAACTATAAGTAATTTAAAATGTAAAGTATGATCAAAGCGGACTGTAACAGTCGCAGCAATTGCCTAGTACCTCTTTTTTTTTTTAGTCTCTTCTGATAAAGGCAAAAACACTTGGCTCCTCAATATAGATCCTAATCCCAAGCCATTCACTGTAGACAGGAAATGATACATGTCTTCTAGGTGACATTAGAGGAGAATCCCATTCTTAGGAATTCTGTCAAGAGGCTGTAAACACTTGTTGCTATAGTTCATTTCAAATTCTGTAAAACTTGCAGCTATATTCAGCAAGAGGCATAACTGATATATTTTCCTATTTCGTGTGCTATTTTTAACAAACTCATCAACATGAAATCCATTGAATAATGAGAGAGATTCGACTAAACTAAATAATTAAAATAAAACAAGAGACTCACATGTACTAATCGCTCCAGACTAGGAATCATAAGAGCACTTTCTCCATCTTTCATACCTGGATCCTTTTGCAAATCCTTTATTGCTTGTAAAATTTCTTTCATGCCTTGTTGAAGGTGCTTATTTTCTTGTACCAACTCTTTCACTACAATTACAATGCAAATTGTTCACATCTGGACACCATGGAATGAAGCAAGTTCACATTCATGTGCATTTTTAATAGACAGGCTTAAAACAGTGGCTTTACTCCTTACTGCCACTTATTTGTACTATTCTCTGTTGAGATTTTCACTTAATTCAGAACACAACAGACAGTTGGCAGTTGTGAGGACAATTCTATTGCAACAGAATTAAGGGTCTGGAAGCTCACTAATGTTTCTCTGTGGTGATGCAAATGCTATGGAACTCGCTGACTCCTGAAATCTGATTAGTTATAATAAAGCTTTAGAAAATTGCTAAAAACATGATTGGTTTACAGATGACAGAATTTAATTATATTTTGGTTGGTTGTTTCATGATGATATCTATGATTTAATTTTAGGGTTGTTTACTACTTATTATTATGTATTGTGGATATTCCTCATGGCAACAAGTCTCTCATGGCAAAGTTTGCCATCCTCTAATTTATGCAAAGGTTTCAAGATTTAAAACAAGTTTAATTTTGGTTGATCCACTAACTGTCACAAAGTATAACATGTAGTTACATTTCTTACGAGAACTATAAACTATAACCTTGTAAGATGTTCATTATCAAATTTACATCTTCAATTTTCCTAGCTTTCAATTTTACCAATCAACAATTATTTTGAGATTTATTTCTCTACTGACATTAAGTGATTGAGCCTCAGACCTTCAATTAGGAAGATTTAGATTTACGCAGAATTAGAATATATTCATCTAATATCAAGGCAGAAGCTTGACTCCCCTTTTAGACATAACCCTATTATACCTTCAACATTAAAAGTTGCAAGATATATTTGGAAAACATTGAGGAGGAAGTAGAATTCTGCCCCTTATTCATTCAATTAACTTAAATTTTGGGATAACCCAGCTTAGTTATTTAAAAAAGGAAAGTGGGTTATAAATTAACACTTTTGGATTATTAATATTCACTTTTTGCTTGTGAAGTGACTTTATTAATATAATGAAAATATTTGTCAATATTATTCAGAAAACACCATTTTTTGTATGTTTTTTTATTACGTTAATATTATTTTCTTTTTTTACTTTAGACTAAAGCAATTTAAAAAAAACAATAAAAATTCAGCTTACAATTGGATTTCAGTTTCATTATTACAATCCTGTTTTGTTCCAAATCTCTTTCTCGTTCATTTAATTCTTTGGCAAGGTAGTCATTCTGTCAACAAAAATGACATGAACATAAAACAGAATTGCAGTTTTAAAAGGGGAATTGGTTAATAAAACATCAACTAAGAAGTTGAAGAAACATAATTAAAACATACATGTCATTCATTTTCAACAATTTATATGATACAGTATATTTGAATATACGGATGATAGTCAAATGCTACAGGCCAGGAAAGAATTACAGTCCCAAAATATGAAATAATTTTATTCTTATCATGCTACAAACACAAAGTTTTTTATATTATATTTGGAACCTTGAACTACCTCAAATTTCTGGCTCCTGCATCTTTCAAGCTCTAGCTCTGCATTTTTATTCAGTGTGTTCTTGGCGAACAAGTCTCTTAATATCTGCTCATTCTGAAGAATAAGTAATAATTAGTGCATAATTATCTATGTCTTAGCATCAATAAACTTTAATATTACCTATCTTCAACCTGTAGTTGCCTATCAAGTGATTACTAAATAATTTCTAGATGTGATCAACGTATGTCAAGCTCCTTAATTTGTAGGGCACATGCAAGGAACAAAGAATGAGAGATTTGGCTTCGAGCTATTAAAAATTAAGATAGAAACTCCTTAGCCCTTCTTTATTAATGAGGTTATGAAGGCAGGACCTATTTGAATCACTTTTTCTCAAAACATTTACACAATAGACTAAGATAAGGGTTGTTAGATAAGTCTACCGATTCTCCCATCTATAGATGTACATATTCCCCTTTCTTTCTTAGTCTCAGCACAATCTTATACAGCAGCATTACAATTCTGCTGTGAAAATAGGGAAATGCCCATTTGCCTAGTTAAGACCAGTCAGGCAATGACAATTCATTCAAATAAATATTATGATCTAGCCATTATTATGATAACAGTAACTATGAGATAGTAATCTAAAAATATATGTGGAAGGTGTCTCACCTCTGACCTAAGGAACATTATTTCACTCCTCAGCTGTCTTATGAGATTTTCAACTCGATCTATCTGATATGCCTTCAATGACTGACCATACACTCCTTCCAAGAGCTCTACTGGCCATGATTCTGAAAAATACAGGTCTTTGCCGGTGTCTTGCAAATCTGTCCTCAAATCCATCAATTTTATTTCAGAATGGTCTTCCTCATTTTTTAACAGGATTTCCTGCACTATATAGGATGACATAGGCTTCCTGAGCAGAGAAGATGGCAGCCCTTCCTGAAAATCCAAGGGTTGTTTCTGTACAGAGCACAATGGCATTTGGGCGTGACAAGAAGCTTCTGTTTTCTTCATCTCCCTTTCCTCTCTTCGTATATGCTTTTTATCAGCCCTCTCAGTTCTTTCCAGCACAGAAAATGAAACTGGACAATCTACGCTGTTCGAATTCTTATTGCTGACTGCACATAAAGCTGTCCCTAGAATTTCTGTGGATGTTTGCTCTAGTGAACTGTAAAACTCATCTATTGTAAAAGCCTTAGAACTATCACTGTTATCTTCCACTTGTACCTGTGGAGCAAGTTGAGAATGAGAAAAGAAACCTTTTTCACTTTTTCAAACAAACTTGGAAAAACTCAATTTAATTCTTTCAGAAAAACAATTATTTTATCCTAAAGTATATTTTCTTTTCTCTTTTATATATACAGTATATAATACTCACTTAATACAGTATAACTGTAATTCTCAAAATGAACAATACTTAATATTCTACTCAGCTACATAAGAAAATTACGAAGTATTACACATACAGTGTATGTATTTCAGATACACATTCACATACAGTGTGTGTATTTCAGAAATTCAGTCAAAATGGAAGTTCAAAAGAATGGCTACCTGTGTTTTAAGTTTATCAAAGTTAGATGTACTCATTAACTCAGATCTCTCTCTTTTCGTCTTCAAATCTTCAGTAAAATTATCAATCAGCTGTAGATCATCTGCATCCAGTCCTATTTGGAACCAAAAATTTAGACAAAATTAAATTCGGGAGGATCTGAGAAGTAAAAGTTGAGAAATAGACTTTACCAAAAAAAGTGTAAAAAAAATCTTCAATGTTTGGCTCTCTTAGATTGACAGGAGATATCAACATCATATTAAAAAAATAGCAACTCACATTTTTATCCCACTGTGCAAAATTAGTGAAGAGTCACATAAAGCAGAGGTGGAAACTGTCAACACTGATTAACCTGATGTAGATTATAGAACTGATACTTACTTAAATAAAAAGACATTTAGCAACAGATCAGACACAATACAAACATTTAGCAAATTCTTTTCCATATAGTTTAATGGAAAATACTGTGTTCACAATGAAAGACTCCATCATACTCGTAACGTGTGCAATAAAACTAAGAATTTATTCCTTTTTTAAAATTTGTACGGCACCTATCTCGTTATCCAAAGTGATTCTGGGTGACTTTATTATTATTAAATAATAATAAATAATAATAATTCAGTCTTATTCCTAAATATTGGAAAATATTTTTAGATTGATCCAGGAATGATAGGATAACCAATTAATTGTTTATGTCATTGCTAAATTATTATTTTTTAAATAAGTACCAGCTTACCTAAAGTTGCAGCTCTTCTTCCTTTCTCCTGAGCCAATTTACGGATTTGTTGTTTCAGGGTAACTCTTTCTTCTTCTAATCTTTCAATCTGCATTGAATTTAAGTGGCGTTATTTCTCTTCGTGCCTTAATTTTTATCAAAAGCATTAAGTAATAATTATTACTTGCCTCTTTCAGCAGGACTTGATTTTCAGCCTTGTATTGTTGTTGTTTTAATGCTTTGCTATTTTTCAGTTCAGTTAAATCAATCATTGTTTGGGGATCAAGCCCTAAAATGAAACAGATCATGCATTAGAGATTATATGTAGATTTAATGTAATTGCTGGACTGGATGCTATGGATAGGTGCATTGAGGGAGAGTATCTCTTCCCTCATAGCATCCTGTTGACACTTTTCATATGTTTCTCAGTTAAGTATCTATACTGAGCATAAACCTCAGCCATTGTATTGATTTTCTTTGTCCTCCAATATTCATTTCTAAATTCAGTTGTTGAAAATGCAGATTTTTACTAAACCTGGCAAAAACAAATGAGTCAACCCTTTGATAATAGTAGCAGCACCGGGCTAATTCTTTTAGACTTACCTATTTACTATTAGGTTCTTGGTTTTATATGAATTGGTAGTGCATTAATAATGTTACTTAGTTTGGTAACAAAACACCTGCAAGAAATATCACAAATTTGGACAGCACCAAAGACCCAGCAGTTAAACCCTAGGCTACAAATATTCTCTTAGTATTTCCATGTATTTGTTCTCTATGCAGAAAAGGAAAAAAATCTTAATTCTTAATATGTGTATATCTATGCATACGTGTGTGTGTGTGTGTGTGTGTGTGTGTGTGTGTGTGTGTACACATCCATAACCCACAAACACATATTGGGGTGGAATATAATCTGGATTCCCAGCAAGTGACAGCAAAGTTTAGATAGTTTGGTTGAGAGAAAGAAGGTCAGGATAGCTCCTCCATAGAACTTCTGAATATATACTTTAATGATGTAAGTAATTATTTATTGGCAAGATTTCTATCTATAGGTGAGGAACAATAAAGGAAACTACTTAGAAGTAATTCCTGTTGTCTTTCTTGGTTTTGAGGGTCACATACTCAGACACAAATAAACTAAAATACCCATTACTGTTGGGTCTTTTTCAGAGATATTTCCTTATCTTAACAGAGAAAACAGTGTGACCGTGTATGGGCAAAATATCAGTGGGAGACAAATCCAACTGACCTAGTTAACATAGGACTCCTTAACAGTAACAACTTAATATGTAAACTTAATAAAATGAAAATAAAGACCAAAATCCAAAGGAAAAAGAAATCCCTCCATATGGTGAAAGAATTTCTCACTTTTCGTTCTTCTCCCAATTCCTACCATGCTGCAGATGCATCCACAATGGTTTATCTAATAACACTGCCAATGTTACTAAAGGTGATTTTCTGCTAAGCACTTTCTCTATATCCTTAAAATCCAGACCAAAATTTAGAATTGCTTTAATCAGCCATTCTCTCTACAAAGAATCAGAAGACTTGTTGCTCAAATTTACATATGAAGAAATTATCACTTCTACTCCTCAAGACAACTAAAAACACTCTGAAAAAAAAACAAAGTAATGAAGACATGCTAAATACATTATTTAAATACAACATTGTCTAATAAATCTGATATGGTCATACCTAGCTTTTCCCGAAGATCTTCATTTTCATCAAGAAGATCATTGATTTTAAATTCAAGTTTATTAACTTCTTTAATTAATGTTTCAATTTCATTATTTCTTATTTTGAGTTGCTTTTTTAAACCTTTTATTTCAGCAACAGCATCTTCCAGGCCATATATTCCCTTGAAAAAGAAAAATTAGAAAATAGTTTAATATTATCAATATAATATCAAAAATACATATAAAACATATAATAAAATATATGGGAAACTGGAATTATGACCTTAAGTCCATCTTTCAAACTCAGTTTTGGCATATTTTTCAGCCAGCAAATAAAATATGAAAGATATGGAGATATAAAGAAAAAACTTCCAGGACAAAGACTCTTCCTTTGCCTGCTTATTTGCACATTCATTAAATGAAAATGTAACAAAGTAAAAATAGATGAATGTAGATTGTGTATGTGGATGACTGTAAGAGAAGGGATGGTATGCAAGTTGTGACTGCATAAACAGTATAATAAGATGAATGAATTGACTAGCATGTGCAAGAATAATAAACAATAGGTGCAGAACACACACAAAAAAGAGAGAGAATAGCATAAGAAATTATGTTCCTGAACTTTCGATTCTAGCCCAATACTTCCCCAGCTCCCGTCCCATCAGTTGCTGTTATACATTTCCCCCTACTGGTGAGGGAAACACCTCTCTCAGCTTTAAGAAAATTGATGGCTTCTGCATAGAAGATGTTTTCTCCAATAGAAAGACATACAGTTTCATAATCTTTCACTCGCTTCAGAGTTTCAATAAGTTCTTTGTCCTTTTCTCTTGCATCTGCTTCTGCAAGTTCTGCTGTCCTTTCACTATCCTTGATTTTCTCTTCCAGCATCTGTAACTTTCCTTGCATTTCTCCAATACGATCCTGTTGAGTAATCGACAGCCCGCCTGAAATAAAAATGTCTACTTAGTCAATATTGCTATAGAAATGAAAGGAGAAACATATATTCAATATGTGACATTAAAAGTAAAAAAATAGTGGAAAATTAACAATCAGTAAATTCTTTTTTTTTTTAAAGATCAGTTTCCCTTCCACTATAAGAAATTTAATCCAAGGAAATTAGGGACATAAAATCCAAGCTTACAAATAAAATAAAGTAGCAACAGTTCCTGAAAAACTTTGATACATAGCCAGTAAAGTCTTTCAATGGAAAGTTGAAAATATCTTATTACTGATATCTATTTGTTTGTGAAACAAGAGAGTGAGTAAATTATCTTGAAATATGTCCCTAAATGCATTATTAGGGTATATACTCTGAAAGAAATTATCCTTCCTTCTGAACAAATTCAAAATCCCACCTAATATTACTCATAGTTAAGTGTCAGCACAAGAACTGATTAACCTTCTTAGCATTGAAAGCTGTAATCAAACCCTGATTGTAAATTCAATCAATACTTTATTATTGTTTACTTATTGACATTAGTACAGAAACACTTTCAAATATTTACTTTTATCTTTCAGGAGTTCTCTTTTCAAGTCCTCAATGATCAATACATTTTTCTCCATCTCCTTTGTATACTGTTCAATCTGTTCAGTGAGCAATTTGATCTGACTGTCTCTTTCTTGCACACCCTAAAAAGAGTTTTTTACTTAATAAATAATACATGTAACATGCTCTTAAACTACGCCAAAATGATCGACAGAAAGACAAAAGTACTTACAACACAGAGTTCAGATATTATCTAGAAGGATAAGCAAAGGGGGCAAAAAAGTAAAGCAGAGAAATAAAAATAAAATAAACAGCTTACAACTTTATGACAATGTTAGCTAAATTAATCACAGCTAAATGCTATCTCTCAAATGATTTCATTTTCTTCTAAATAAACATGAGGTACATATACCTACATATACCTATTTCAGTTTATCATAAATTCAGGATAAACAAATGCATTACTTATACATGATGCCTACCACAAGCTCCCCTTTAGGTAAGAAGTAAGACTGCTTCAGGGAGAAAAGCTGGCATGAGATTGAGGGGGAGAGGGCAAGAGTTGGGAACATATCATTAAAAGAGTCAGAAAAGAACAACCAAATAATCTTTGTTAAGGCCAATTAAACTGCTCCCCCTAGTTCTCCTTATTCAAAAAGCAACTATGCAATGCTCCATTTTTCCACCCCATTCCATCTCAAAATTTTAACATGTACTGCATTAAGGAAGCAATTAACTTACAAAATGCATAATGACCTCCTCACCGAACATTTCTGTTCCCTTCAGGTTCACCTTCAAATGAACTACGTTAACAAATTTTTAAAACACATAGACCACATTTTATGGAAAAAAATGATTAAAAGATAATGAATTTAGGGGTAAAATATTCAAAATGCTGCATAGATAAATACAGCTCACTAAAATAGGGTTCTAGATATGGCCATACAAAAGTGGGTTGTGATGATAATTATAGCATTATATTTTCTACTAATGTGCATATTTATTTCACACACAAACGTGTGGATACCTGCTGGAGGGCAAGAACATTGCTCTTGTCAGAATCCATCTGGGCCATTTTCAGCTTCTCTTTCAGAGTCAACAACATTTCTTGATATTCAATTATTTCATCATCTTTGGAAACCAAAATTCTCTGCAAGATAAAAGGAAACCAAAAAAAAAAAAAACCCCTTTATTATGACAAAACCAGGGGTGGGATTCTACCAGTTCTCATCTATTCGCTAGAACCAGTGGTTAACATTCTAAGCAGTTCACAGAACTGATTGTTAGAAGAAATTACTGGCCTAATCCTGTAAAGAAGGCAGGAAGGGAACAATCTGGTGTTGCTTACAGAAACTGCCTCTCTGATAATGCTTATTACATTCTTGCCAGGACTAGACTTCCTGTCTCAGGAACTTCTCTGGAGTTTTTTCCCCCTCCTTTGCTGGTACTTTGCTTGTGTGGAGTGACTATTCAAAGTTACAATGGCACTGAAAAAAGTGACTTATGACCATTTTTCACACTTACGACTGTTGCAGCATCCCCAGTCTTGAGAGGCCAGGAGAGGAGATGCGTACTTCTATGTGAGTGATATTGAGTTGGCTACATCCAGCCAATAACATGACCACCAAGACATGTCCACCCAGTCACATGACCACCCAGCCAATAACATGACCACCAAGACATGTCCACCCAGTCACATGACCACCAAGCCATGCCCACCACCTAAGCCACGCCCACAAAACCAGTTGTTAAAGAAACACTGGACAAAACACAAAACAAATTGCTAAAACACAGTTAATGTTAGTTGTGAAATACCTTCCATTCCTCCACTTTTTCATTTACAGCTGCCATAAGCGGATCATCTTCTTCATTCTTTGTTTTAAGTTGCTCTGTCAGCTCATGCACCTGCAATGAGATACAATTCATAAGATAAGCTATTGACAGACTAATTATCATGGGAATTTTCAGTATACATATTGGAAACTAGCTGCTTTCTTACAATTTATGCATAAAAGTTACTGATATCTTTTTCAATGGATAAGGCCACCAGTGTACAATGAACTTCACATTTGGTACTAGTTAGCACTCCTACAATCAACACTACTAACTTAATCCTTTATACTCTAATTTTAATGCTTTGTGTATCTGCTTCCCAAGTATGCAAGGTACCTCTTACCTGTAGTCTATATTGCTCTTTTTCTTTTCTTAGCTGATCCATAGCAATATCAGACTGTTGCACCATAAATTTCATTTTATTGTATTCATCAGTCATATTCTCCATTTCTTGCACAGATTCTTCTAAATTTTTCCTCATTTCTTGGTTTTGTGTTTCTAACTTTTCATTAGCTTCTGTCAAATTCTGCAAATGTAAAACAGACATAGTTCCATGAAATGTATTTTTTTATATAAGAAGCAATTCTTAAATTGATCAAGCTATATTGTCCCCTAAGAAAGTCTAGAAGATAACAATACATCAATAAGTTTGATCATCAGCACAGTTCTTAAATACAGGGACATCCAATCATAAAACAAATCATAAAAATTAATTCATGAAACAACATATGGGTTTTGGCATGTTTTAGTTAAAAAATATAGGCTCACTAGCACGGTGGGATGACATGCTATGCTCTAATTAACAACCAAGCCTTTCATTTTATATTAAATTTTCTTCTGAGTTACCCCGTCACTAGTTTTATTTTGATTGAACTAAATTGGCAGAACTTTCCCTACTAGATTTGGTCATGATTTATGCTACGGACTCCCCTGAAGATATTCACACCCCTTTATTCCTCTTACAGATATTTCACTACTCTTTATAAAAAACAAACCAGTAAGTCATATATATGTATACAAGCACAGACATACACACACAAAAAAAATCTAAATTTCCATCTCACCAATTTGAACTATAAAATATTTTTTTCTAACATTAAATTCTTCATGGAATACAATATTTATATGTTTAAATGAATAATGGATTAGTTGGTAGTCATTAGTTTACTATTCCAAGAAGCAGGAAAAACATGACAAATCTTTTGAGCTTAATATAAAATTTCCTTGTTCATTTTCTTAGACAAAACCCAAAATCAAGAACCCAAAATAAACCAGTAAGGTCTGCACTTCTTTAGAGTCAGGTCTGACAATTTTGTTCTATTGAGCAACTCTTTTAAATTTACCTGAATTTCATCTAGGTATTGAACAAGCTCAAAATTCTTTTTAGATAACTGTGACCTGTAATCTGATTCTTCTCCTCTTCTTGAGAGAAGTGTTTCCTTTTGTGTTTCTAATTGTCTCTGATAGTCAATAACATCCTGACGAAGCTGCTCATTCTGCAGAAAAAAGAGATAATTAAAATATGAAACTGCTGAAGATAAGGTATTAATACTTGCTGAAACTGAGAAATATGCTAGGGAACTAGAAGTAATAAACCAGAGAGATTTCATTTCATTGGATATATTCAAGTGGAAGCTAGATAGTCACCCGAAATACTTAAATTTGTATTCATGCACCAAATATGGCCGGGGACTTGATATCATAATTAGTGATATCAGTGATATTAGTGATATCACCTTTAAAAAATCTAATTTTTAAATTAAGTTATTGAAACAAGCTAATACACTGAACACAGAAACTAACACTAACCCTCACCTTTTTCTTCATTCTTGTTTTCTTAAAAAAAAAAAAGAACAGAACAAGAAAAAAGAGGGAAATTTAACTGATCAAACTCAGCAGGCAAAAGAGAAGAGAGAAAAACATAAAAGAAAGAAGTAATACAGCATTATCTTACCAAGCAAGCCCATTAAGAACTTAACATTATATGTCTTTATGATGAAGAAAATCCCTAAACTGAAACAGAAATTACCTAGACTGAAAGAATACAGTGGAGACTTGGGTTGTGACCGTAATCCGTTCCCAGACTCTGGTCGTGACCCGATTTGGTCATGTCCAGAAGCACGACCGACTGCACATGCGCGCAGTTTTAAAAAATGGCACCAAAGGAAAAATCAGCGCGGAGAGGGAATCTTTCAGCCCCGATTTTGCTTGTCACCTGATTTTTAAATCATGACCCAATTCAAAAATTGGGTGGATTTTTTGTTTGCCACCTGATTTGGTCGCTGTAGGTTCCACTATAATCCTGTCATTGCAGAAGATTTTAAACATTATGACTGAATTAAACTACTGTATTTTTCAGAGTATAATCCATACTTTTTCCACACCCAAAAGTTGTGGAAATGTCTGTCTTATATGTTGCTGAAGCCCTGCCCACCCGCCAGCCCCCACCCGCCGGCCTCTGCCTCCCAGCAATTTGCCTCCTTGCAGCAAATAGCAAACAGCCTGGTCAGCTTCAGCATAGCCTGATTAGCATAAGCAGCTAATTGTCAGTTGGATCGGCTTCCCAACTATCAGCTGTTTCAGGCTGCAGGGATTGCCATTGCTGCCTCCGTGTGCCCCATTTTTGGCCTCTACAAGCCCCATTTTCCTCCCATTCCAGCCCCTGCTACCTGAAAATGGGGCACGCAGAGACCGGAAACAGGGCGTCCAGAGGCTGAAAATGGGATGCATAAAGGCAGCAATAGGCTATGGCAATCCCTGCAGCCTGAAACAGCTGGTCGTCAGTAGGCCAATCCAACCAACAATCAGTTGCTTGTGCTAATCAGGCTGTGCTAAACTGACCAGGCTGTTTGCTGTTTGCTGCAAGGAGGCAAATTGCTGGGAGGCAGAGACAGGGGCAGATTTTTTTTTCTTGTTTTCCTCCCCAAAAGCTAGGTGTGTCTTATATTTCAGAGTGTCTTATATTCTGAAAAATATGGTAAATTAAATGGTCTTTCTTCTAAGAAATTGGAAATCGTTAGTTCTGCATATGGCACAGATATGGAAAGATAGAAATAAGGAAGCATAAAAGCAGTGGTAAATCAAATGTACAAAGGTGTAACAAATAAATAGGCACCAGGTGCAAAAAATTACTTTGCGTCAAATTGTTATACAGGCATACCAACCTCTCTTCTTAATTTGCTGTTTTCATTTTCTGTTTCTTCATTTCGAAGAGTTATCTGGAATGACAAATTGGTTAGCTGAAACTATATATTATGATCCTAATATAAGACATAAGTCTCTTTCGAGGAATATTGTGATTATTCCTATTTGCAAAACTTATATATAAAAATAATTACCTGAAAATTAAAAAAAAAACTCTATTTCAATCCAAAAGTTTGTTTAACCAGTTCTCTACTAAAACTATATAATGCTGCATTTTCTCAGAAGTACCCAGTAGCAGAAGTGATTAGGTCTTTATAATTTACCAATTCCAAAATTTAGTACAATCTGTAGTCTTATGTAGGGAATAAACTGTATTTAGTTCCACAGACATACATATATAATTACTGCTTCTTATATATACATAATTCACTAAAAACAAGATGTTAATTTGTTAGAGACATAGGAACTATTGAAAATAATTAATCTGAGAGCATCTCTTTCACTTCATTATACATTTTAAGATTGTTTCTTATAATTTTACAATTTTGAAAAAGTTCCAGTGCTTCATTTTAAAAAATCCACAACATTATTTATGATCAGGTGTATTTTTCAAATCAAATGTATAGATAATATTTAGTATTACGAATTACAGGAAGAATTTCAGATAAAAGAATTATTCATTTATCTGTGAGTAAATTTCTTTGACTCAATTGGCCCTTCTTTTGTATATATAATTTCATTACACAACTTTAGTTTTCCTACATTTATAGTATCTATCACTACTATTATGTTGATATAAATTTACATTATTTTTAAAAATCTTGCATTGTTAGGTCTCCTTTTACAATTTCTATTACTATTCTCAACATTAATTTGTTCAGAACAAATTTTTACTCTTGATAGAGATCAGTGTAATTTACCTGTTCATTAACTTTCTTCTCTTTGTCTAGATCCTTTTCCATGTCTGCTAATTCTCTGTCTTTTTGTGACAACTGTTTTTCCAACTGGCGGATTTCATCACGCAGAAATCGAGTATCACGGCTTCCAGTGGATCGCTGTGCTATCTTAGCAAATATTAAAATAAAATTAGTTTTATATATATTTCATTATATTAAATAAAAAGTAAATAAAAAGTATTTATTCTAAACAATAAAAGTCATGGAATGTTTTGAACTATAGTAAATATGCAACTAAACAATGTAAGATCAGATTTAGCTATTTATTCTAGGAGACCATCTGTCCTGGAATCTAAATTAAATTTAGACTGACTATACTGAAAAATAACTACTAAATTATCAAATATTGAATTAATTCATTAATTCTACTGCAGCACAAATCAAACTCCCAACTATTTAAAACAGTATTTACTTTACGATTCAACATATTCTCTGCAAGTATACTTTTTATTATATTTAAAAAATCTCCAAAATCTGATTTCTCAATTAATAATTAATGCAAGGAAGTTTTCTAAAACATGTAGTAGGATCCTACCTTTTTATATTGTCCATATTTAAAATATTAGGCAAATTGCAGGATTTAAAATTGCCAGTCATAAAATGTGAAAACCAAGCCTCACAACATGCTATAGCCTAGAACAGAGGTCTCCAACCTTGGCAACTGGCTGGGAAATTCTGTTTATTGAAGTCATCTAGGCTAAAAGTTGCCAAGGCTGGAGACCCCTGGCCTAGAAACTTCAGTGCCATACAAATTAAGACAGATTAATAAGACTCATAAAGCTATTTGAAGCTGATATTTTATCTCAAAAATAATAATATTCAATCTTTACATTAGGTGAAATTTAAACGTACCTCTAATTCTTTTTCTAGCTTCATCACCTTAGTTTTTAATTGATTTTCTGTTTTCACAAAGAAGAACGAAGTTATTGAAATATAATGAGTAAAACACTAAAATAAGACCTGGAATAAAACTGAGCACATTCTTTATTAGTATCAAAAACAGCTCCTTCTCTAAAAAAAAAATAATTGTAAAGTATACTTATGTATAGTATACATTATATATAGGAATACCATGTTTCATCATTGAACCTTGCATGTACCATTTTTAATACTTACCTATTCTTTCAAATAATTAAAAATGAGTGAATTCAATTGATCATCAATATCTTTCAATTTATTTTAAAGGAACCTTTTCTTCATTTTATAAACTAAAAATTCAATTCACTTTAAGTTGAAATTGTGTGATGCTTTGGACCCAGCTTTAGAAGTTGGACCTCATTAGTCATCATATGTATGTTTTCAATGTTTCCATATTTGACTGAGATAAAATAAATGAAATATATTTCTACTAAAATTAACTATAATGAGAAATCTCACTATTCCAACTGAGTAAAAGGTAACGGTTCAAAACTAGCAGCAAAGTAAAAGGAAAACAATGAAGACTATAATATTGAATCCTGAATTCTAAATAGGGTTTCTTCTCTATAGAACTAGAAATTCCATTATATTGATACTTCTGTATTTTTCCCCAAAAGTGTCAAGATGTTTACAAGTTATGTATCTATAGAAATGTTACCAAATTTAGCTTGCTCTTCTCCAGCTTTCTCAACTTCTTCTAGAGCCAGTTCTACTTCTTGGTTTTTCATCTATTAGAAAAAAATGATAATTAGGACTGCAGAAAAAACAATTACTACCAACCTGCCTTCAATCGAGGACCTGTATACTGCATGAGTCAAAAAGAGGGCTGTGAAAATATTTACAGATCCCTCACATCCCTGATATAAATTGTTTTAACTCCTTCCCTCAAAATGATGCTATAGAGCACTGCACATCAGAACAACCAAACCCAAGGATAGTTTTTTCCCAAACGCCATCACTCTGCTAAACAAATAATTCCCTCAAAACTGTCCAACTATTTACAAAGTCTGCACTATTACTATTAACCTTCTCATCACTCCTTATCACTCCTCCCCTCCCACTTGTGACTGTATGACTGTAACTTTGTCGCTTGTATCCTTACAATTTATATTGACTGTTTCCTATTATGATTTGATTGCTTATTGTATCCTATGACTATGATTAAGTGTTGTACCTTATGATTCTTGACTTTTGACAAATGTATCTTTTCTTTTATGTATGCTGAGAATATTTGCACCAAGACAAATTCCTTGTGTATCCAACCACACTTGGTCAATAAATAATTCTATTCTATTCTTATTCTTATTCTAAAGCACAGCTGTGTGAAAATGTCCTGCACACTTTACGCTTTACGACATTGTTGGGATAGGCCATTGATTTTATGATATTTTATGCCCACGCCAAAGCGATGCCACCTGGTGATAAGCAATAAGGGCTGGCCAATTTCATATTAATAACCATGTTTGGTTACCTAAATGGTCCTTTTCGGGGCCACAAACTATAAAAATATTAACAAAATGCTAGCCTTGCCCTTAATAATTGCAACACATATGCCACTAGGTATGCATCAGTTAATCTGTTTTCATAGTCATTGTAAGCATGCATTGTAAGCATGCAAGAAAATTCACAATCTCCATCCAAACAGCACCAAATTGCAAAAAGCTTATGCTTTTCACTTAAAAACCACCAGTATTTATTTAAATATAACAATATTTTCATAGCAGTTAAGCATAAAATATCATAAAATCAATAGTCTATCCCAAAAATGTCATAAACCATAAAGTGTAAAGTGTGCAGGACTTTTTCACACAGCAGTAACTGCTGCAAACAAAATAAATCATATGAATTAAACATAATGTTTAAAATAAGATAGTTTATTACAGATAAACCCCTAATATCAACCATGAGATATTTTAGTCTCATGACATAAACATGGCAAAAATCTAATAAGCTTTATGTAATTATACTCTTTCTTCTACAACAAGAGTACATAAGTAAAAAAAAAAAACCTCAGAGCTTATTAATCCAAAACAACTACAACTGTTATGATTATTATGGAAACTGTGTTTGTCCCATTTTCATCCTTTACCATACAAAATGACTGTACCTGAATTGGCAAAAGGCAATCCCCACCCCCACCCACCCAAAAAATCTCTTCCTTTCTCAGGAAATCTTCTTAGGTCACTTGCCTTCTTCTCTACTTCTAGCCTCATGTTTTTATATTACAGTATTTAAACATTTAACAAACCATGCTCATTTTTATTAATATCTATGGGTTAATTTTCTAAAGTGCTGCAAAACTATTGATACACATCTGTAAATATTTTAGAGTCTTCAGGAATATTATAAACACAAACAGAACCTGTTCCAATGCTTATTTATGGGATTACAATGCAAGGGAGGAAGAGCCTATTCAACTCGCCTGTCCAGGCAACTGATGGATTCTATACATTTTCAGAGGAAACCATGAGTTATTCCCAAAGCTCTGATACAACTGAGCCCTTGGTCACAGCTTGGAAAGAATGTGTAAAGAAGGATTCAGGCTGGATTATGCCAATGTGGACTCTCTCTTTATGGATTCCACAATCTCCACACCCCAATTTATAGGGAAGCTCTAAGAGATAAAATGATGCAAGGGATGCCAAGAAGAGTTAAGTCTAAAAAGGCACAAGTGATAATCTTTATTAGGACTTAGCTTGTTATTATATCTGCAGATACCCACCAGTGGCCTTGTTTCAGGTAACCAGTCTTTTCTGGGTTAGTAAGAGTCTGGAGTGCCCCTGGAGGGCCACTGTGAGGGCTATTCAAAGATAAAGTTATTTAGATTTGTTCTAAGTTGGACTCCTGTTGGGCAGGTCCTATGGAAGCAAGTGAGGCACAATCTTGCTCCATTATGTGGGATGACTTTCCTGAGGAAATGCACAAGCTCCTTGCAGCTGTGAGCTATGGCTAGTTAAGATGTTTGGGAGATGGCATATAGTTGGATATAACCAGAGGTTAATACCTGTTTACAAGAGGGGATGAGTTTGCCTGCCTTAAAGGAAGCAATAGGCTATCCAATTCTCAAAAAGCCATCCTTGGATCTGACAGGGTTGAACAAATTTCATTCTGTCTCCAATTTTAAATTTATTAGGGAAAGTTGTGGAAAGGCTAGGCACTCAGGTTCAAAGTATTATTGAAGAAAAGCAGATTATCAGGATCCTTTGAAGTTTGGATGTAGACCAGGTTATATAAAACAGAGATAGTGTTGACTCCACCTGAAAGCTTCAACTATTCCAGGATGCCGTGGCACATATAGTTCTGGACATTCCAAGGTCTGTCTATGTTAGATTACTGGGCAATGAGTTTATATTGACTGCCAGTCTCTTTCCAGGTACAATTCAAAGTGCTAATTATCACTTTTAAAGCCCTGAATGGCACAGAGCCAAATTATCTATAAAACTGTTCCCTGTGGATATGTCCATCCCACCAGTCTTCTTTACTGAACAATATCATCTGGTGTGCCTTCGCTGCAACAACCATCTATCTTACAGAACAGCCTTTTCCCTGAGATCTGGAAGGTCCCTACCCTATTAGCTTTCTGGAGGACCATGAAGATCTAGCTCTTCCCTCAAAAGCTGGATCCGGATAGGAGATGAGCCCAGCATATGTGTAATTTAGTACAGGATTACTGTGATATCTTGGTGGCATGGGATATATTTTGCGGGGAGGGAAGCATCTTTCCTCTATTCATAGTAGTTTGATGATTGCTAGGCTCTTAAGATTATATTGTATATAAGTAAATAAAGTATTATAATAAAAGTTTATAAAGATGCTATTTAGAAATTTTAACAATATATCAGTACTGACCTTCATTAGTGATTGAGAAATTTTAAAAAGTTGAATTAAATGTGCAGGAGTCTCATCTTTCAAAGCATTACCATCAACCTAAAATATATAAAATGTAAGTATATAGAAGGACACATTAAAATACCTTTAATTACTGACATATTGAATACATCATGCAAAATACCTTGGCCACAGTCTCAAGCAAACTATCTGCTAGTTCCTCCTGACGAGGCAAACCATCAGGATCTACTCTCATAATTTTCTTCCATTCCAAAATAGGTGCCATCCTGAATATTCATTTACTTCTGTTCAAAAAGAAGTGAATTGAAAAGGTTACGTTACATTTACCAGAAATATTTAGTATAGCAATTTGTAACATTTTTATTTAGTAAGCTATTATATCTAAGACCAGTACTTACTTTCCTCATTAACAACAATTATGTGAGGCAGGTTAGACTGAATGGTTATTGATCCACAGGCATTCACTAAGCTTCCATTAATCAAAGGTGGAATAGAACCTCATCTTGCTCTTCCTAGCCCAACCCCTTAACTACCACACTCTCAAATGAAATGTTACTAGATATAAGGAATCAAACAAATATTTTAAGATTAAAAGCCAATTTTTTTAATGTATGCACTCAAAATATTTATTTCCATGTATCCTCAACGTACTCTTAGGAATTCTGTAAGATGAGATGGGGGCAACTGTAAAACTTAATAAGAAAACCTGTAAAACAACTTTTAAGTTTGAAAATGATCCAATTTCAATGTTTTTATGCATTCTACTCCTTGAACTTGATATTACGTTAAGGGGTTCCCTTACCACTTCCTTTTTTAATTCTGTTTTTAATTTTTATATTAATAAAAGATTTGATACCATAAGTTTGGGGCAGATTGTGAATGAATGCAAGCGATAACTACAATGTTTTAAGTACCATCTCAAAACAATTATCCGTAATATTTTGAAATTCTCTTGTTGGGAAAGCCATAGTTTCAAAAATTTCATTGCACAAATTGATTCCATATCTGTACCTATGAAAACATCGATAACTAGGACTGCCAATCTATCTAAACTAGTACTATTAAATTTGATTAGATATCTAAGAAACTGTGCATAAAATTATAACCATGTAGATTATTTTCAGTTTTGTGACATGCTTAATCCTGTTAACTTTGCAGTGTAAGGCTTTGAAATTACAGTGCCATTTTGAGACAAGCCAATTTGTGTTACATAACAGTTTACATATAAATCAATTTCTTAGTTCACATTTTAAGTGCTCTACTACTTTTTGAGGTATAGACAGCAGTGCACTAGTCAACAAGCAATTGTAACCCTCAGCACAGGAAACGTTCTGTAGCTCTAAGTCCTTAAATTATGGTTTCTGTTGGAATATTCCATTCAACTTCCTCCTTCCCGCTTTCTCCTGTTTTTTTTTCTCTTCATATTAGTAAGCATTCCATAATTGAATGCATAAGTGAATACATGAGTGAATGAGTAAATAGAGAAACTCCTCTTTTATAATAAGCAGCTTTGCTTTTCTACAAGGTTTTACAATGTGTGGAATCTATTTATAGTTTTCTCAAGCATATCAATGATGAAAATGGAACATTTTGGTTTAGTGTTTTTTTTTTCAAATTAACACACTTTTAGTGCTCTTTTTTGTTTCATTTACTTTCAACTGGGTATCACAACATTTGGAGGAAAAAACAGGTTTTGATGTTTTTCCAGAAGATTAAGAGGATGGAAGTCTGCCAGATCTCAAGGGGAAGAGGGAGGCCAGGATCGCTATGGAAAAGGCACACCTCCTAGATCCCAGAAGTGATACTTCAATATGAGTTCATTATTATATATTGTGTCTTACCAGAGAATCACTATACAGTTAATTTCACATAGATTACGTAAGGTTTGAGACAAACTTCAATTCCACCAGATTTATGGAATAAACCCAGCAGCATTGTTTTAATACTATATACTACATAAGAAAAAAATACTTTGAGCTTTTCAAATACTATTCTGTGGGATACAAAAATCAGTTTTTTGATCCTGGGAAGTAAGACCCAAGCTTTTGTTCAAGAAGGGGAATTTTTCTTCTTCCTTTTCACCTTATAATTCTTCATTTCCTGAGTTAAAGCTTATCAATTTCACACACTAAATTGAATCAGTGTAGCAAGTACACAGAATGGAAAGCTGAAGGTCTCAAACCCCTCTCCCAGAGGCTCTGTAAGCATTCACATTGTGATCCTCTCTCCTACTGTGAGTTATCAGTTTGGTTGTACTTGATGATATAACTATCCTCCAAGAGGCATATCACCTGACAATGCTGATATATGGGAAAGATACAGCACTCATACCCTGTGTTCCCTTCATGGCATTTAAAATGTAAAAATGAAAAAAGTAAATTTAAATAGTGCATATAACATTTAAATTATTTCTTATCTACAAGGCATAGACTGTTTTTTATTTAAAACATATTTTGTAAATATCCAATAGAAGGAATTATGCCAAGTAATTTTAACAATGGTTTACCAAATAAATCACAATTAACATGCTAATAATGTTAATTGGTCTTTGAATCACAGCCTCTGGGTTCCCCTTTTATGAATAGCAAGTACCAAACCAATTTCATACTTTAAAGCTCAATCGTAGATTAAGAGACTCTGAAGAAGTCATTTCAGTAATTGAATCCTATTTATTGTTTAATGTGGGAATCCAAATTAAAACATCTCAGAGGTCTGTCCTCCAGCCTCTTCCTTAACACATTCAATGAAAGATGTTTCCTAACATTCAAACAAAATCTACCTTTCTATAAGTTTTAAGACCATTATTTGGGATGACAGCAAAGGCATGGATCAATATTTTCCATTTCACAGGATTATGAGTTTCAAAATTTCAAAGCCTGTTTCTTTTCAGGTATTTTTTATAAACAATGGAGAAGCTAAAATATTTTTTTTCCATGTTATTTTATTTGCTGTTGCTCCACATGGCTTCTATCATTCCAAAAGACATCTTTTCTTCACAAATTGAAGTGTTTTAATGTTTTGGTCCATTTTCTCCAAAACACTATTTTTTCCCTCTCCTTTTTCATCAAACCATGTAACCCCAACACTTGTGCAAGAAGGTAAGCAGGAAAACATGACATCACACTAGCAAGATCTGGTATTCTTCTTTTGGAGATGCTGTCCATTCAATGCTTCTCTCTCTCCCAAGAACCTGGCTGGGCATTAAAGGGGGAGACTGGGTCAAAACTTTTCGCTGCTTTAGGATTATCTATTCTAGGGGAGTTCAAATACTTTGGCCACCTAATGAGAAGGAAGGACTCACTGGTTATGATGCAAATAGGAAAATAAAAGTTATAATTATGGCCTACAGCACTGTGTATTTAAGACACTACATTGTATGACTATGACAATAATAAGTATAACCAGAGTGTACACTATGATGTATGTTTTAAAAGGACTTGATATAGCCAGTACACTGTCGTTGCAAAATTGGAATTGTGATGAATAACAAAAATGTAAATAAAAATATATATTTAAAAAAGGGGAGAGAGAGAGAGAGAGGACTCACTGGAGAAGAGCCTAATGCGGGAAATGATTGAGGGCAAAAGAAGGAGGTGGCTAGATGGAGTCACTGAAGCACTGAGCTTATGGACTCCGGGGGATGCTAGAGGACAGGAAGGCCTGGAGAAATGTTGTCCATGAGGTCACGATGGGTCGAATACGACTTTGCAACTAACAACACTAGGGTAGAGACAGCCTATTATGCCAAAGGCATTGGGGATTAGTGACTGTTTCACCAGAGGCAGAATATATGCAGACTGTCATTTCACATGTACAGGTAGTCCCCAACTTACAACCAAAATGGAGCCCAAAAATTCTGTTGTTAAGTGAGACATTTAAGTGAATTTTGCCCCATTTTACGAACTTTCTTGCCACAGTTGTTAAAGCGAATCGCTGCAGCTGAGAAGTTGGTAACATGGTTGTTAAATGAATCTGGCTTCCCCGTTGATTTTGCTTGTCAAAAGGTTGCAAAAGGGAACCTTGGGAAAGAGCATTGGTCGTAATAAGTATGAACCATTTGCCAAGCATCTGAATTTAGATCACACGATCACGGGATGCTACAAAGATTGTAAGTGTGACAAAACGCTCATAAGTCGGGGGGTGTTTTTTTCCAGCGCCGTTGTAACTTGGAACCGTCACTAAATGAACTGTGGTAAATCGAGGACTACCTGTATTTGGAGCGCAGGGAACATTTCGTGTATCTGTAATCCTGCAAAGCTTTATTTCACCAAAGGACTGGCCGACGTAAACCGCACGTTATTAGGCATACAAAGAAGCACCTTATCTCGACTGCAAAGGCTCGTTCCCCAAAGGGTGAGAAAGACTCAGTCAGACCCCGGACGATGCCAGGCATAATCATCCCAGCGTCCGCTCGGTCCTCCTTCCCTCAACCCCGACGAGAAGCGGGAACCGGTCCCCGTCTCTCCCCAGTGCCCGCGCCGCCCCTTGCTGGCTCTCTTACTTTCCACCGCCTCTCCTCCCACCTTCAGCCTTTCCTTTGTCTTCCCTCGCTGGCTTCCGCGGTCGTTTAAGGTGGGGACGGACGCTGCTAAGCAACGCGATCAAACATCCCTCGCCCACATTCAGAAGAGCCCGGATATGCTTCCACTGGCATGAGCGCCCGGTCAAAACTCCCGCGGGACTACAATGCCCAGAGGGCAGTCCTCGAAGAAAACTCCGAGTCCCAAAATGCTTTGCTCGACGAACCGTTGACAAAACGCTCCGAGTTCGGACAAGCACTACTACCTAGAGCGGGTAAAAAACGAATTCCAAGGAAATAACGAGAGGCGTGCTCCTTGGGGAATGGAGTAGACGGGACCCTCGCGCAAACTGGACGGGAAAAAAGCGCGGACAGCTCGACATTGAGGAGCGAAGCATTTCCCTTTCCAGGGAAAGCGTCGTAGGAAAAAAAAACTACACGCCCCAGTCAGCCCAACACCGACCTGGAGACAATCTCTTTTCGATATCCGCCGCTTGGAATGCTGGGAGGAGGGAGGTGGGGGAGCGGCCAAAAGCCGCCTCGGCGAGCGCTCTATTGGGAACAGAGAATGAACCTCTGCGCATGCGTAATTGAGGAGGGAGTCTCCGGATTGTTCATTCGTTCTGATTTAGAGTTGGGGGGGTTCTTATGGCGAGTTAAGTCTGAAGCTGCTGCGGAGTAAGTCATGCGGGGAACGGGGTTCATCCACGGCAGTGCCAAGTAGAGGAACCTTTGGAGTGAAGCACGCGGGGACAGAGTCTATCAGGATCTTTTGGGAAGCTGGGTAACTTAACGCGCGTGCTAATTTTCCGTGCAAAGGTAATGGGAAAAGAAAAAGGACGGGGAGGGCGGAGAAGGAAAACACCAGAACTAGTCCGTCAAATGTGAAGTTTAAGCCCGAGGGACTATTTTCTTTCATCTTTGTAGGTTGTGTTCGGTTTCTCTTTTAGGTGAACGTGTCCCCTCGCTTGCCTGTTATTATTTTCCAAAAAGGCTAGCAGGCTTCACACGTGACGTTTATAAAGACCTGAATTAGGTACTGTAATGGTATCTTTATGGGCTTGGCAGAATATAGATGTATTCTACTTAAGTGTTATCTCGTTGCATAATTCATATGGGCCCAACTTCATATACTGTATAATGCAGTACTGTTAGTGTTCACTTTGAAGGGCCAACGCTGGATACTGTAAATTAAAGCCCTTCTGAAATTGATGTGTCTGCTTCATTTATAGCGTACTTCTTTGCCAAAAGTATGAGTTTTGCTAGGTTTGGAGCATGCTGTCTGCAAACTTTGTAAACGCTTATATTTTGTAAATATTGTGTAAACTTGTCATGGTATATTCATAATTATTTACCCAATTTAAGAGTATGAAGTATGAAAGTGCATAGTTCTTAATTTCACCTGGGTAATTTGGAAGTGGGATGAAATACTTCTACATGTATTAATTACTTAATGACATAAGTAGTTGGGTATCCTGAGGTTTTAGCTTATATGGGTTTCTTACACACACACACACACACACTTTATCTTGGGCTCCTTATTTCATTCTGATATATTGGTCTTCATTGTTCTATCTTGCTACATTTTAAACTGTTTAACTTTTTTTGGTAACGTTGTTCTCTTTATTCATATTTATTCAGTTCTTTGCTTTTTTATAAGCCTGGAAAATATCAAAGCTATAGTTATTAAGGCCTCGGCAAGTGATTGGACCTTGCTGATTTTGCTCTTAACTCAAAGAAACATCTAAAGAGGTTGAGGTCTAATTTGTATGTAAGTTGGAGATTCAGGAATGTAGGCTAGACTGCGAAATGGGGGGGGGGATTCCCAAAGAAACTAATGACTAGCCATTTTCAATTGATCCCAAATGAGCTACCTGGAAATAATCAGATCAAATTCAGCAGAAAGAAGAATTTGGGGGCTTTAATGCAATGGTAAAAAGCCAATTTGGTGTAATGGTTAAAGTACCAGGCTAGAAACCACTATCAGCTCTAATCCTATCTTAGGTATGAAGTCAATTGGGTGACTTTCAGCTAATCATTCTCTATCAGCTCCCAGAAGACAAACCACTTCCAAAAATATTGCCAAGAAAATTGTAGGGACTTGTACAGGCAATTACCAGGAGTCAACACTGACTTAAAGGCACAAAACCAAAAAAGTGATTCATTATATCAGGGTGTCAAACTCACATTGTCATGGCAACATAAAGTGATGTATTGGACATTTTTTCCATTCACTAAACCAGGTGTGGGCGTGGCCAGAGTGTGATGCATCCAGCCTGCGGGCCGGGAGTTTGACAGCCCTGCATTATATAGTCAGGATGAGGCATACGTTGCCTATGAAATCCTATTCTTGTCATTGTCAACAATATTAGTTGAACCTAAACGCTTGATTTCATATAGAACAGCACCAGTGCTTTATATAAATATTCTGGATACATCAGCCATTCATCTTCTGTCCTAAATGCCACTCAGAAAATTACAGCTGCCCCATCAGTACATTCTTTTAACAATCAGGCAGATGGTTACATAGCTAATTGTGTGCATATGTAAATGTTGAAGCAATTAAAGCAATTTAGAACACCTAGCAGTCAGTACAAAAATAATATTTCTCAGTTCCAGTACTACAGAGTTGGTTTCCTTGGGGGCAGTGGTTCTTTACAGCTGTGTAGAATATTCAGGATACAGTTCAATTACTTTTGGTCTCGTCTACATATATCCAAAGTCTTTCATTTCCCCAGTGGAACCTTTGAAAGAAAATGCTTTACATGCCTCATTAAAGATTGTTTTGAAGTTTATTAGAATTTTTTAAAAGAGAAATGTCATTTGAAAAGACGGATTGGATATGGATATCTTCTTGGAACAAATATTGTAATCCGGCATGAATGCACATCATGGTCCTTGTGGATAACTTATTTCATTCTTCCAGACTCCCTGCCCTATTTGATTTTATTTACTCTAAACAGAATTTCTAATGGTTAGAGTTCAAAAGCTTCTTATCAGCATAATCTTATGCAAATTATTGTTCCATAGAAATTCTAAAAAAATAAAACATATATATGATAGCTGGCCAATGTTTTGCTCAATAATGTGTACAGCTACCCCAAAACACAGTTAAAATTACTGTGATAATAAGCATCAGGGACAGAGGATAGTAAGATACTACCTCAGAAGATTACTACCTTACAGGTTGCTTTCAGATGTAGATCGTTCTTTTGGTCTCACTGAAACAGGCATATTACTATTTATTAAAATATAAGAATTTAATTGGCCATAATTTTATTTTAAATTGGGAATATTTTAAAATTACCATTTTCCTGAATTCTTTCCTTACTTGATTCACTTTTTTGCATAATCGCCATTTGCTGCATACTTCTGGTAATGGTGGAATAGTTTCTTAAAGTCAGAGGTGGTATTCAGCAGGTTCTGACCAGTTCTGGAGAACTGGTAGCAGAAATTTTGAGTCGTTCAGAAAACCGGTGGTAACCTTTCCCCAGGAGTGGGGTGAGAATGGAGATTTTACAGTATCCTTCCCCTGCCATGCCCACCAAGCCACACCCATTAAGTCATGCCATGCCCACCAAGCCATGCCCACAGAACCGGTAGTATTTTTTTTTTTAATCACACCACTGCTTAAAGTCGTCACAAAGAACTCCATACCTTGCCTTTTCAATCAGGTCCTGACAATTCTTTACAGCTGTTCACTTGAATTAGATATCCACAAAGATATTCCTTTTACTTTGAAAATTAGTGGAAATCACATGGCACAGATTCTGAACTTTAGGTTAGTTAGAAGGGGTAAGATGGAAGGTCTAACTTTGCAATTACCTCTTGGTGACTTATGAGATATGAGGCCTAAGGTTATCATGTTGCAAAAAAAAAAATCTTTCTTGTGTTATACTTCCAAACTCCTTACTTGTTTCAAAGTTTGAGTGTCATCCAGATAGTATTGTGAGGTTCAAGAAAATCCTTATGAATAACACCGTCTGCATTCCAAGGAAACAGTATCCATGAGTTTTTCTGCCAAGGCATCAGGTTTTTTTCCTCCCTTGCTAAAAAAGTTTTATGACAGTGTTCCATGGACTGATGCTTCATGTCTCTGTCATAATGAAGTGCCTATGTTTTGTTGACTGTCGCAATGTTATGCAGAAATTCCTCACCTTCATTCTTGTAGTTTGAAAGCAATTATTGACAAATTTCATTTCTGGAAGTGTTCATCTTTGTCATCAGCATACAAAGAATCCATCTAGCACAAATTTTCTAATATTGAACAACACATATTTTGTGAAATGCCAGGCTTGACAGCAATTTTCCTTTCTATGATATACTGATTGTCCCCAGTCAGTTCATCAATGTCGCTCATATAAAACTTGTTGGTTGCTGTTACAAGTTGCCCATTTGTTCTTGATCATGTATATTGGGTCTTCCTAGTTCACCATCTTTACACTTTTGAGGACCCAACTTTGCACAATATTTATATTAACAGTCATTGTCATAAATCTACATTATGCAGTAAATTTTAATTAGCTGTCAAAAATTCAATCGCAATACATTGCCTAAAGCACACTGAACAGTACTCACTGCAGGTTTAGTTTCAGTGACAACACAATTTTTTCTCATAACTGTAAAGGAAAAAAAAGAGCTGAAAAGCACATCAGGGGGTTTCTAGTTTGTCAGTGTTGTCATCTATTGGTGATTTATAAAATTGGAGACAATCTTCATTCATCCCTTGTGTGTCTTCGAGCAATTATAGTATGCTCATCTGGATTTTAGTGACTGTATCTGATAGGTGAAGGATGGTAGCATATGCCCACTTAGATTTAATATCCTATTTGAGCATTCAGCAATATTGGATTACTTAAGGGAAATAGAAGGACATGGTTGGCTTAATATAGCAGTTAAGTTGCAATTTAAGACCTCTGCCACTGAATATTTAGCTTTGCAACTGGGCTTATAAAAACAGACCTTCCTGACTCCTTTTTTCTCATCACAAATTTTATTATTTTATTATTACATTTATATGTTACTCATTTCATGAATTCAAGTTACATTTCTGTAGAGAGATTCCTGTGGTATATAAAAGCAGAGGAGAAAGATCAGGAATGCCTAGAAATTGGACAGGATCATGTAGAACAGGGGTATCAAACTCAAGGCCCGCAGGCCAGATCCAGCCCATGATGTGACTAGATCTGGCCCAGGAGACTGCCCTGCTGACAGCGAAGGACCAGCCCCCGGAAGGAAGGAAGGAAGGAGAGAGCCAGAGAAAGCAAAGTGTTTTTTTTTGGGGGGGGGGCAGAAAAAGAAGGAGCATTCCTTGGCTGAGAATGCAGCAAAGGCAGATAGGGAAAGTAAACCTCAGCCCCCGCAAACCGAGTGCAGTTCCTGCCACTCGTGGGAAAAGAAGGAAGAAAAAGAGCCAAAAGCTAACCCCCCGAGGCTGACATCGCTCTGCCTGG